ACACTTCCAAAAGGCATATATATAAAAGACATATATATATATGAAAAGGAGACCTATATACATGCTAACTTAAATATTTTTTAAAGAACACACTCCATGCTCCATGTAAACTCTTAGTAGAGAAGGGAAAAGACCAAAACAAGACTAAAGAGCAAGAGTGAGCCACGGGACCATTATCAGATGAAGCAAGAGGCATGCAATTGGAGAAGAAGGGACAGGAAACTATCAGAAGAAATTGCTAAGGCTTACGAATTTCCAAATTGATGAAAATCTTAAAGACACACACCAAGAAAAATCATCAATCCCAAGAAAAAGAAATATTAAGAAATACCAAAGTCTATCCTAATCAAATGGCTGGAACTCAGGGATGAGGAAAAAATCTAACAGTAGCAAAGGGGGCTGGGATGTGTGACTCAACAGTCAACTACTTGTCTGGCAAAAGTGAGACTCTGCATTTGAACCCTAGCACCACAAAACAACAACAACAACAACAACAACAACAACACACACATACACACACGCACACAGGCACGCACACAAGCTAGCAAAGGTTTGTTTTTTAATTCACACATAGAGAATGAATGAGAACAACCAATAACATCATGTCAGAAAATGTGTAAGTGAAACACAATGAATGACAACCTTTAAGTACTTGAAACTGTTAAACCTGGAATCTATATCCAATAAGCATATCTCTCTGAAATAAAAGTCTCAGACCAATAAATCTAATGAGCACAAGTCTTGAAAGACAATGTCTATTGAGACATAATTAGAGTAGATAGATAGCCTGGCAGTGATGGTACACCCCTTTAATCTCAGCACTCTGGAGGCAGAGCTCTGTAAGTACGAGGCCAGCCTAGTCTACAGAGCGAGTTCCAGGACAGCCAGGGCTACACAGAAAAAGCCTGTCTTGAAAACAAAAAGACAAGGACTTGTGGGGGCAGCGCCCATGATTGGGGGAAAAAGAAAAGAAAAGAAATGGATAGCTGAAATAATTACATATCTGATAAACTGTATCTAGACCTAAAATACCTGTACAAAACACTAAGCACAGGACGGTTTCTGTGGAGAATTTTCTTCACACTTAGGAAAATAACTGAAATATACACAAAATCTTTCAGAGCCAGGTTGGGGAGGAAGAGCTCCCAGCACCTGTCCTAGGGCATTAGCTCCACAAAAGCCAAGTGCATGCAAAGTGGAGCTCAGTGTGTCCCAGGTACATAAATGCTACACTTAAAATAGTTCAAACATGTAACTCTAACAATTATTTTTAAATTAGTCCAAGTGGGCTTTACACCGGAATATAATCTTCATTTAACAGCTAAAATCTCCAAACCATCAAAGAGAAGATGAATGAAGGTTCAAACGACCTTCTCAGTAGTGAAGAGAAATGAATAGGACAGAGCCCGGCGTTGGTGGCACACGCCTTTAATCCCAGCACTCGGGAGGCAGAGGCAGGCAGATCTCTGTGAGTCTGAGACCAGCCTGGTCTATGAGAGCTAGTTCCAGGACAGCCTCCAAAGCCACAAAGAAACCCTGTCTCGAAAAACCAAAAAAAAAAAAAAATAGGACAGAGCTGACCACAGTGGCACTCACCACTTAGGAGACTGAGGCAGGAGGCCAGCCTGGGCTACAGAGTAAGTCTGAAGCCATTCTGACTATACAGTGCATAAAAAATAATCCATATCAAATAAACAAACAAACAAACAGAAGGGCTGGGAGTGTGGAGACCTTCTTCAACTGGATAAAACACATCTGTGAAGAATCAATACAGAAGGGAGAAAGACCAAAAGCCTTGCCACTGTTCTCTGAGAGAAGAAGACATTATTGGTCGCCATTCTTATGCAATGTTTGTTTGGGAGGTGGGCTTCATAGCATTCTAGGATGTGTCACCGCTGAGCCGTCTTGATTTCTATATTGGTTCCACTTTGTCTCCTCTTCATAGAGGTGAGCCTCCTTGTCCATCCCATTCTTCCAGCCCCAGTTCCCCATGTAGTCCGATGTGGCACAAAATGGATACTCCAAGTAAAGGAGCTGTCAGAAGTATTGCATAAATGGGCTACACCTTGAACAAGAATGTCTCTCTGCCTCTTGATTTTGATTAACAACTTTTTTCAAAAGGTGACCGTCCCCAAACTTTTTATGGAAAGTTTCACTTCTGTACTGATCCTTCAGACATCTTCGTAGCTTGACTTAGGCTCTCTGTTGTCTTCACTGTCTTGTTAGTTTCTCCGGAAGTCACGAATTTTTCTGTTCAAACATCTCCCTGATGTAATGGGTTGGATAGAGGTCCCTTTCTCCATTTTTATCCTTCCCTTTTTGCATCTCAGACTAAGACCCTGTTTCAAAGGCAATGTCTGCTTGCCCATCCTTGACGTGAGGGTTTGTACCTAGTTTTATTGCACCTTATTATGCCATGTTCAGTTGATATCCATGAGAGGCCTGCTCTTCTCTGAAGGGAAGTGGAGAAGCAGTGGATCTGGGGGAAAGGGAAAGTTTCGGGGGGAGACTGGGAGAAATGGAGGGAAGGGAAACTCTGATCAGGATGTCTGTATGAGAGAAGAATAAATAAACAGAAAAATAATAAAAGTTAATAAAACAAAAAAATTAAAAACGATGTCTACAAGATATAAATTGTTAAGATGAAGCCACGCTGAACTGGCAGGTGTCCTATCTAAGACTTTGGCCCTGTTAAAAAAGAGTTGGACACTCGTTTTTTACGAGTGGCACATTCCTAAAATCCTAGTGCGCAGGAGGCTGAGGCAGGAATAGGTGGAGTTTGAAATCTCTCTGAACCTTGCTGCAAGAGCAAGAGTAAGGACTCTTGCAAATACACAAAGACACACCTGGGAGGGGCAGCTTTGGAACAGAGTGAAGACAGAAGTTAGAATCTGTAGCTATGAGCCAAGGGATCCAAGGGTTGCTGGGAGCCTTGTTGGAGGAAGCATGTCACTATGGAGGAAGGCTTTGGGGTCTCTTATATGCGCAAGTCATGATCAGTCTCCCAGACCACTTCCTGTTGTCTTCAGATCAAGATGTAAGAACTCTCAGCTCACATGGTCCCCTGGTAAAGGGGAACGGGACAAGAGCTCCTGAACAAATAGAAAGCATGGGGGCAGGGGCGAGGGAGGGAGGATAAAGAGGAGGGAAGAAGAGGAGGAGGGAGAAGAACATGAGGGATTGAGTCAGGAGATGAATAGAGGAGAGCAAGAAAAGAGACATCAATAGAGGGAGCCATTATAGGTTTAAAGAGAAATCTGGCACTAGGGAATTGTACAGATATCCACAGGGATGACACCAACTAGGAATCTAAGCAGTAGTGGAGAGGCTACCTTAAATGCCCTTCCCCTATAATGAGAGTGATGACTACCTTAAATGTCATCCTAGAGCCTTCATCCAGTAGCTGATGGAAGCAGAAGCAGAGATGCACAGCTAAGCACTGGGCCAAACTCCTGGAATCCAGTTGTAGAGAGGGAGGAGTGACCAACAAAGGAGTCAAGACCATGCTGGGAAAACCCACAGAAACAGCTAACCTGAGCAAGTGGGAACTCATGGACCCCAGTCTGACAGCTGGGGAACCAACATAAGATGAAACCAGGCCTCCTGAATGTGGGTGTCAGCTAGGAGCACTGGGAAGTCTATGGGACCTCTGGAAGTGGAACCAGGATGTATCCCTAGTGCACTTTCCCCATGGAGGGATACTCTCTTAGCCTAGATACACAGGGGAGGGCCTAGACCCTGCCCCAAATGACTTGACAGATTTTGATGATCCCTCATGGAAGGCCTCACCCTCCCTAGGGAGTGGATGGGGGTGGTATGGGAGAGTCAGTGGGGGGCATGGGAGGATGGAAGGGAGAAGGAACTGGGATTGATATGTAAAATAAGATTGTTTCTAATTTAAATAAAATTTATTTTTAAAAAGAAGAACTCTCAGCTCCTTCTCCAGCACCATGTCTGCCTGAATGTTGCCTTGCTTCTCACCATGATGATAATGGATTAAGTCTTTGAAATGTAAGCCAGCCACCCCATTTGAATACTTTCCTTTATAAGAGTTGGCATGGTCATGGTATCTCACAGCAATAGAAACCCTAACTAAGATACAACCACAGTCTAAAAATATTAATAAAAAATCTAGAAAAAATAGTTCTTTAAATGCATGTATTCCTAGAAAAAATAATAGTTCTTTAAATGCATGTATTCTTAATGACATACTGGAATTTGGCAGCCTCTATCCCCTTCTTCTCACCCAGAGTGGGACTTGGCCTTTAGTCCAGCACTCATACACTATCCACCATGTCACTCAGTAACTGATTGGGTTATCAATCACCTTGACAGTATCTCAGGAAGCCCCTTTTCCCTTAATGGCAGCCTACAAAGCACATGGATAATGATGTAGTAATTTGGACAAACCAAAGATACTGTAAACTGCTTTCTGGAAGGACAACCCCTGACTTAATCAGCAAAGGAAAACCACACTGAGGTTACTGAAGTTGGATCTTCCATTTGTGAGAAGAGAAAAAGAAATGTGTCTTAGTGTCATTGCCCCTCCCTGCAAAGGTCAGGGTGACAAGACATCAGAGGTATTAAATATATGCATGTGTGTATTTTGTGGGGCCTGGCACTGGCCTTGGTTCTACTCATCCATTGGGGGTCCCAAACACATGTAGTGCAGAGGCAAAGGGGGCATTTTAAGACACCAAGTTTGTGCTCATTTGTCACGGTAGCCCTCGCTTTGCAGCATTCTATTTTTACCTTTGCAATATGGCAGCATGTACCATAGGAATCCCCAGCACAATTGTTTCTCTCACTACTGCTCCTTTGGAAAAGCACATACTAAAATGATGCCATTGTTGGTCAGCACTCAGAATGGCACCATGTCCTAGCCTGTCATTCCCGGCCCATGTTCCACCTTTCTGTTTCATTCAACCTGTTTGGTTTGTCTTCCCTAAATTAATGTATACTTCCCACAGTTCACAGATGCCTTTCCCCCTGTTTTACAGGCTCGGGCTCACTAAGTGTCGGTTTGCTAGAGAAAATAGATCACCAGAACACAGTAGCAATCAGTTCGCCCAAAGGATGGTTGTCGGCCCATCTCCAAGTAAATTGAATTCAGCTTTCTTTCCTTTTATATCTCAGTTATCAATTATAATAGTGAGTTATTGCTCAGGTGAAGTAAGTTTGAGTGCACAAGGCTTAAAAAGTGTGCTGCAGCTGTACCAAAATTAGTTCAACAAACCAATTACGTAGGAATTAAAGACTGTTAAACTGAACTGTTTTTTATACTTTCAAGCTTGCTTTGCATCTTAATCTGTTAATATTTGAAAGGTTAAGGGTAAGTTGCAAACTGTGAAAAAGTAGCCAAAACCAAAATGCTTGGAAACTAACGTGTAGATATATGGTCACTGTTGAAGTTGAAGAGTAGAGTGTTGTCTACCCATGCTTTGTCCGCCACAGCTCACATCTGCTATTGTTACCAGACCTCAAATCTCTTCATCACTTCCCATTTCCTTCAGGGTGAAATTGAGGCTGCTTGGTTTTCCCATAACTGTCTGTCTTTTTCAGTAACACCTCTTACTCTTATCCCTCCATCCCTCCAGCCAGCGGGTCACACTTCCTTATTTTCTGCATTATTTTAATTATTTAGGAAAGTACACAGGTTCTTCATATCCCACTACAAACACACTCTTTCTTTCTTTCTTTCTTTCTTTCTTTCTTTCTTTTTTTTGTTTTGTTTTTTAAGACAAGGTATCTCTGTGTAGCGTTTGGCTGTCCTGGAACTCACACTGTAGACCAGGCTGGCCTCAAACTCACAGAGATCTGCCTGCTTCTGGCCCCCAACTGCTGGGATTAAAGGTGTGCAATTCCACTGCCCAGCTATTACCCCTTCTTAATCTTCAAGTATGTAGGCATCCTTTTCCATCCAATTCAGATATAGGATGAGCATCTCTAATGCAAAAACCTGACACCAGAAATGCTCTAAAACTTCTGAGAGTGAAGATGTTGCCATGTTGTCCCATGCGTAAAATTATTACACACATTGTATAAGTTACCCTTTGGTCATGAGGTGTATATGAAACAAATTGTTTTTAATTATTATTAGTTCCTTGTGAATTTCATAAGTGTGTTCTGATCATATATGCCCTCCTGCAACTATAATGAATTCTGTGTTTAGGTTTGGACCATCAGAAAATATTTCATCATGTGCAGGCAGATATTCCAGAAATCTAAATCACCTTTGGTTTTCTCCATTTCTCACTAGGCATTCTCAGTCCATGCTGACCCCTCTAGAAGTTTCCCAAGAGTTCTCATAGCACCTCTCTCATGGCCATGTCATCCTCTGTATAAAACTGCGACAACACACACTTACAGACTCATAGTTCTTGTGTGCCAGGAATATCTGAGCTGATCCTCTGCTCACACACTTGCACAACCTTGAGGGCGAAACCTGGGAAGAATCTGCCTTCCATCTCAGCAAGGTTGCTGACAGAATGGCTTTTCCTAAAATACAGTACATATATTGTAAACCCTAACCCTAACCCTAACCCTAACCCTATGTAAACATAGGCCAACTGGATGAACTAATGAGTAATGAAAAGGTTTAGAAAAAAGGAAAGAATGAAGGTTTTAAAAGGGAGGAGGGCTGGAGAGACAGCTCAGCAGTTAACAGTTCTTACTGCTCTTAAGGAGGACAGCAGCTCAGGTACCAGCACTCAAGAAGGCCAGCTCACAACCATCTGCAACTCCCCCTCCAGGGGCTCTACTTCCTCTCCTGGCTTCCACAGGCACTGAACACACACACACACACACACACACACACACACACACACATTTTCTATAAAAAAGAATGTTTTAAATGGTTGTATGTTACCATTCAGATAATTTAGCATTAGATCTCATTGATCATCCCACTAAGTTCAATAAATGTCTGTTTTCCCCTTTTCCCACCACAGCTGAAGTTTCTTATGATTCTATGGAAAGTGAATCACGGTCTTATGAACCAGAGCCAGAGTGGAGTAAAGAAAACCAGCCAGAAGAAAGCGAGTCAAATGAGTCCTGGGAAAAGGAAGTGGACAACCTGGTCGCCTGGACCAATGCTCTCGATATAGATTCCTTGGACTATACGAACTAACATTCAAGGGTTTTCAACACCACCCAGTCATCATGCAGCAACCATGGCGGATGTTAGGGCACGGCTTCTGCTCTCTACCCCTGTCGGTCTTATCTTTCTGCAAGCACAAAATACAAGTATGAATCAGAGAACTGCTTGCTCTGGGTTCTTCAGACTCTGTTCTTGCTTGGAACTAAGTGAGTCAAAATCAGGTTCTCACTGCAGCATCTGTCAATGCTGCTTTTCATATCCCCACAACCCACAGGGCAACACGTGGTATGGGATTAGGGAAAATGCTGAAGGAGAAAAGAATGGAAAAGCCTTTCAGAGACTGCACATAACCCAAGTACAGGCAGCTGTGATTTCACCCGGACCTGCCTAGGTTCTCGGGTCCTCTGTAATCAAGGGAAGAGATGCCACCATCCACTCTTCAGTTTTCCTAGACCTCCACCAGCCATCCCTCATATCTATCCTTTGTTCTCTGTCACTTTACTGTCTCAGCTTGTACATGCCGTGGCTCTTCTATAACAAAACACATTCCTGCCATGGCCTGCAGCCCTCTTCCCCTCCACACGCTGTCCAAATCAGATTTGTCAATGGCATTTGTCACTACACTTACTATTCCTTTAGTTGTCACATTTGGACATGCTGCACAGTAGAACCTATCCTCTAACTATAATCTAAACTTGTTGAGATTACCAAAGAATGGAATTCTACATAAGCCTGGTCATGCTTATGGAGCCTCCAGCTTCTCCCTTTCTTAAAGGATTGTTTTTGTTTTGTTTGGTTGGTTTTTGCCTGTAATCAGCACACGCACGTGTGTGTGTGTGTGTGTGTGTGTGTGTGTGTGTGTGTGTGTGTGTGTGTGTGTGTGTGTGTGTGCAGTCCCCAAGGAGGCCAGAGGGAGCTGGAGTTAGAACCTGCCGGGTGTGGGTGATGGAAACTATTTTCATGCCGTTTGCATGAGCAGTATGTACTCTTAACCACTGAGCACTGTCTAGCCCCTGGACTATGCCTTTCAAAGCAATGCTTATTGCCATGCCCTCACCAGCACATATCCATGCATGCATGTAAGTCCAACTCTGGGTCTAGTTATCAGGCAGTCTATTTCTATGAAATAAAAAACCACTCTACAGCATGGCTTCTGATCATGTGCTACACTTCCCTGGTTAACTAACTGCCCCAAGTCTGCCTGAGACAGTTCAGACAGTAAGGCCTCAACTGATCACAAACTCTGACACCTTTGCTGTCCACCTATTCTCCTCACCCAACCCCCAACCAGGGTTACAAAATTTTCCTCCTTCAACAGCTGCCACATCCAGCAGAGAGCCACGTCACAAAACACATCTGGATCGGGACCACTAAGAGTTCTTTTTTTGGGGGGGGTTCAAGACAGGGTTTCTCTGTGGCTTTGGAGGCTGTCCTGGAACTAGCTCTTATAGACCAGACTGGTCTCTGAACTCACAGAGATCCCTCTGCCTCTGCCTCCCAAGTGCTGGGATTAAAGGCGTGCACCACCACCCAGACACTAAGAGTTCTCACACACCTGATGAGAACTATTACAAATGACTTATCCTGCACCTCTGTGATGTAGGATGTAGAGGAAGATGCCTTTGGTGATGGTCACAGCCACAGAAGGTAGATTTCTGAACCATGTCTCCAATGCAATTTTAGGATGGCAAATCGGTGGAAACAAACCCCAAATGGACCATGACAATAGCTAATCAAAAGCTTTTCTTTCTCTCTGGCTGCCGTATATGATATTTCCTTTCCTCTTAATCCCTTCCCTTCAGAACTGGGGGAGGGGGGGTCACACTTGCTTTCACTTCCTGTAGCCATGATATCTGACAGTGGAGTAAGGGAAGGGGTGAGGTGGGGACAGGGATACTAGTCAATAGGACAAGGTGGTGTGGCTGTCCTTCTGTCCCGGCGCTCATGCTGAGTCTCGGGTAGAGCCATCCTTTCTACTGACTCAACCCTGTGCTCTTCTCTCCACCTTCTCATGTCATCTGTCCATTTCCTTTAAAAGCATCTTGACTTGAGAATGCCATGTGTATCTGCAGTGCCCTAGTAGGAGCTCATCCTCCCTCTTCCCCCCTCCACAGTCATACCTCAGATGCCTTCTTACAGTTGGAGGGACAGTCTTAAGACAAAGGCTGGAGGCTCACATCACTCCAGGCCATTTAATCACCAGGACTGCAAATGTTTTCCTCTAGATATATATGCGATAAACCCATACTCTTATTTTACCACTTTCTATCATGAAGCTTTCAAAAGCAGTAGACAAGAGGATACTTTAAACATTTAAATTTTTTATTTCAATTAAAAATTTTAAATATAATTACATTATTTCCCACCTCCTACTCCTCTTTCTAACTCTTCCCATGACCCCCTATCTAACTCAAAAGTGTGTCTTCTTTTTAATTATGATTGTGTGTGAATATGTAAAGTATAACCTGTTCAATCCATTTAGTGTTGCTCAGATGTGTATGTTTCAAGGCTGACCACTTGGTGTTGGACAACCTATTGGGGGGCCATTTCTGGTAAAGACTAGTTCTCCTTCAGCCAACTGTGTTTAATTGCCTGTATCTATTAGCCAAGAGGTGGGACCCTGTGAGAGTTCTCTTTTTCAAGTTCGTATTTCTATTGGCATTATCATCGTTCAGGTCTTGCTTAAGCACCTGTATTTCCCTGTCATTTCTAAGAGGCACGGTCTCACAGAAAGCTTTCTAATCCTCAGATTCTTACAATCTTTCCACCCACCTTCCCGTGATGTTGCCTGAGTCTCTTAGATGGGGGATTGTACTGTAGATGAGTCAGTTTGGGCTGGACACCCTACTAAGATGAGTTGTTCTCCTCATTTTGACCACGTATGGCTTTCCATAATGAATGGTGTCTGTCTACTTCAAGGAGAAATTTGTTTGATGAGCGATGAAAGCTGCACTCCTCTTTGACAATATAGCTAAGTGTTTAGAGTGATTTAGGAAAGTAGCTGCAGTCCATTCTTCTCTAGGCCTCATGGTCTCACTATCAGAGGTAGCTGACTGCATTTCCAGACCAGGCATGATGGCCTTCCCGTCACGTGGACCTGTGTTCAGTTAGACAGCTCTTGGTTACTGCCAAAAAAATGAGTGTCACTATTGCACTTTAAGGTGGCTTAGAAGCATCACATCTGGGTTTATTTCCCTCCCAAGGCAGCTTACATAACACCTATATAAGCACCTGTGAAAGATATTCCTCGGGGAAGGGGCTGCGGGTTTTTTTCTTTTTATCTAGCTAACAAACTTCCTTTATGCCATCTCTCACCTTCCTAAACCACAATGCCCTCCGTGAGTCAGAAGGACACCCACTCCAGCACTGCTCCCTACCTTTGTGTCTTGGTCTCTTCGGGTTGCTATTCAAAATGCTACAAACTTTGTAGCTTAGAAACAACAGAAATTCATTTATCTCAGCTGGAGAGAATGGTAAGTGTCGAGGTGTTATGCAGCATTTCTGTGTTTACCAGAGTTTACTCATTCAGTCACAGGCAGACTTGAGAATCATTTCCAGTTTGACTGTGTGCCTAGAAAAGCTACTGTGTCAAACCCATCCTAAGAGCAATGATTCATTCTTGTCTAATCCCTTCTGTGAGTATAGGCTGGGCCTTGTTGATTGATAGCTAATGTGATATGTATTGAGGATAATGGGATTGTCATGCCTGTCACTATGTCATATTATGTAAGATTCCATCTCAGCCAACTGAGCGGGTCTCCTGAAGGCTTTGAAGAAGACCTGTAGTGTTGGGGAAAGGTCACAAGGCAAGGAATTGCCATCTGCTTGCAGAAGTTGATAGTAGGGCATAGCTGATCATCAATGAGGTAATGAATGACCTCAATCCTACCACCTCCAGAAATGCTGTAAATAGTAGTATAACCCAGAAAAGGCTTATGCTCTAAAAAATGATGTTACCTAACCAACATTCTGCCTCAGCTCTGTGCAAGCCTGGGCACCACCCCAGGCCATGTCCAGAGTTCTGTCTTGGAAACTAGAAGACAGCAGAAGACTCTGGTTTGTGCTGCCACATTTAGTAGTTGGTCATACAGAAAATTAATTTAGCCTTTGCAAACATTTGGAGTCTTTTCATAGACCTATGCTTTACTGTGTTGTAAATAAATACAGAGAACAGAGGTGGTTAGATTAAAGGCGGGAGTGTGTTGGAGCTTTTAAGAAGCTGCCAAACTGTCTCCCAGTCATATTATAGTAGAATGGTTCTGGTTGTCTCTTCATGATGACTAGTTCTTGATGTCAGCCATTGTAGAATGCATAAATGTCGTCACTCTCCTTTTCCCTGAAGACCAGCACACTGCCTGTGTTTTCATTTGCTTACTTGTGGTGCTTTTGTCTTAAAGCACCCTATGATGCTTATTTTCCCATAATATTTTGAGAGTTCTAATCCTGGCTAGCAGCTCCTTATCAGATCATGACCTGAAGACATTCAATTTTCAAACTAGTGGCTGGTCTTTTTCTTTTCATCATCTTATCACTGTCTTTTCAAGAGCAATTTTTAAAAATTTGATTAAGTTTGATTATTTTCTCTTACAAATTATGTTCTTTGTATTATTTATGATAACTGCTTATTTAATCCAGTCAACAAGACTTCCTTTTGTTTCTTGTAGAAATTGCATAATTGTGGGTTTTATATTATATCTACCATGTATTAAAAGCTAACTTTAGCCGGGCGGTGGTGGCACATGCCTTTAATCCCAGCACTTGGGAGGCAGAGGCAGGCGGATCTCTGTGAGTTCAAGGTCAGCCGGGTCTACAGAGCGAGTTCCAGGACAGGCTCCAAACAATACAGAGAAATTCTGTCTCTAAAAACCAAAAATAAAAACAACAACAACAAAAATGCACCAGTAAAGCTAGAGCAGAATCGATATGTACTGATTAATGACTTAATAAGTTCTAGTTATAACTTGCTGCCAGTTAAGTTCCAAGAAGATATATCGTGGCAATAAATTGATCATGCAAAGCTTAACCAGCTAGCAAATCCTAAGGAGACATAGGGTTAGGAGTGGCAGCTCTGGATTCAAATTCCAGCCTTGCCCTGAGTGAATTTTGATCAACTTTTAACCCTTCAAAGCTTTGTTTTCATCTTGGTAAGCACAGTCAT